CAGAGCCCACTCCAGTTGGTTTCTCAACAGACCTACCACCAGTTCAGTGTGCAACCAGAGAAGTGCGCTGCGACCAGAGCAGGTTACTGCAACCGAAGCAGGTTGTCTCCATTTCCAGCGCAGGCAGATTTGGGGGACGTTCAGTGGGAGGTCTGGATGGCTAACACCATGAGTTAAAGCACCGGACTACACCAACCCTAGTGGCTCCACCACTGGCTATGCATTAATATTTAAATTTAACGTATGCCGATCTCGTTAAGTCAGTTAGGTTTTCTTCAACTTGTTTCGTTCTTCTCGGCATTTTTTTTTTTCTGTCCATTTTTTTGTTTTTTTTTTGTTTTTGTTTTTGTTTTTTTTTTTTTTTTTTTTTTTTTTTTTTTTTTTTTTTTGTTTTTTTTTTTTTGTTCCTTTTTTTTTTTTTTTTTTTTTTTTTTTTTTTTTTTTTTTTTTTTTTTTTTTTGTTTGTTTACTTGCGTCGAGTTACTCAGGCTACTACCCCTATTTGTCAGTTTGGACATATTTTTAGTCACTTAAAATACAGGTACCGGTAGTTGATAAACTCAAAGACTGTGTTTCAGAAAATTTGATATCTCCGTTTCATCAGCTAATAATAAATAAAACACTCACTGATTTACTATCTACATTTTAAGTATAGGGTTGCATATCAGTGTTATTTGGGGAACATAAATGAATGAAAACCAACAAAAGGATTTACAACCAAATTTGACATGGCCACACCTCCTGACCGGAAGATGGTGCGTAGAAAGTTAGGCCAAAATCAAAAAAAGCTTTTATTTTAAAATAATCATGTGGAGCGTAAACGCTAAAATAGTAGAGAGAGAAAACGTGTTAAAATGTGTACATAAAATGGGAGGGGGGATGTTTTGGAATAAAGTAGTACACTTTGATTAATGTTTAAATTACCAACATTATACAGTTAGGCTTACCCTATAATTGTAGGGCTGAACCTAGGACCTATCTATGGTGGAAAACGGGATCAATCGAGTACTGAAGGGACACTTTTTAAATGTTAATTGTTAATAACACATTATTAAAATGTCGGGGTGGGGTGCAATTTTGGTAACGCATTGAATATACTTTCCATTATTACCCGGGTAACACTGTGCTGTATTTTCTAGTATATTTGAGGAAAGGGGCCACTAAACAGTAATAAGGTAACAGTAACACGGGCTCAGAATCTAGATTTGATACCCGTGTGTAAACACCTGGCTATACTTTAACACATACACTGCCAAGCGAATGGAGTTGATATTTTTACTTTTGAATCCACCGATATTTCAGTATGGCCTATGATTATGATGAAGGAAAGGACTCCAAGCTTGACCAAGATTCACGTAGAACCATCTATTGTCTAAGCCTACTGGTATTTGGGGGCGTCCATTAATTACGCCAAGTGTGTGTGTGGGGGGGGGGGGGGGGGGGTAAATGTTTGACAGTGGTTGACAAGGGGGGGAAGGGGGGTTGTAAATGTTTGACAGTTGTTGACAAGGGGGAGAAGGGGGGCGTAGATTAGTTGACGTCAACAATCATGTTTTTTTTTTTCTATTATTAGAATTGACTGGTTCTTACCTTATTTTAAACAATTTAATGAGTGTAAATAGTCAAATATGTTTAGGTTTTTAACAGTATGAGAGTTATTTAATGTGTGTCTGTCTGTGCACTGCAGATGGCTGGTCGGAATGTTAGCACACTTTGTTAGTGCAAGAGAAGTCAAAAGTTGGCATCTCTTCACCTGTCATTTTTCTCTTAATCCGCTCCCTAAAATGATTAACACATCATTGTACACGGTATTCAATTAAAAAAACAACAACAACCCAACTCATCGGTGTTCAATAACAACTCGACCAACTCAAAAACAGAGAGAGCTTATGGCAATTAATGCTCACACAGACAATACTTCTATTTTAAGTGCTGAATGTTTAGATATGGATGATGTTGACTTGTCTGGTATACCAGTTTCGCAAGATGAAAATGATAAATCAGCTACTATGGACTATGCCCACCAGGGGCGTCATTTAATTTTTTTCATGGGAAGGGAGGGGGAGGGGCAAAACGAAAACTTGGTCGGCTTATTAAGTTGTTTATTACTGGAGGCGCCACAGTATATTATAATTTAATAACACCAACAAAATCAGTGCGGGGGGGGGGGGAAGATGCCCCCCTACCCTACCCAAATGATTTCCCTGATGCCCATTGCTACGATACAGCAAAACCTGGCTACCCCATGGGAAGAAACTGTACTATAATTGTCAGCTATATTGACAATAATCATATTTATACTTCCACAAACAATAATATTTAACATTTTAATTGATTTTGCATTAAACAATTTAAGTGTACAAANAAAATGTTGACATAATTAAATGGGGGGGGGGGGTCATCGAAAGTTTGACAGTTGTTGACAAGTGGGTGGGAGGGGGGGGGGGTCAAAAGTTGCGTAAAACATGTTGACGTAATTAACGGACGACCACTTTATCTTTATACACCGGTAGCTTGATACACAGGTAGCTTTATACACCGGTAGCTTTATACACCGGTAGCTTATATCAGGAAATATGATTATGAAATTGGATCCCAAAGTAATCGATCTTATGAGTTTAGAACCCACAAGTCTTTGAATCTGGACAATCAAGTTTATAACACTTAGTCCGGCCTAGAACAGACACATCCATCCATGCAGTAGCCAATATTGGATCTTATACTTATATAGCTCATCTAAATCTAAGGGAAAAAAATAAAAGTAGGGGACCCGGCCGGTGTATTTGTAAAAGTTGATAACCTACAATATTGCATTCTGGTTAATAAAGATTATCCAAATTTGGTCAAGATCCATCAATCCATGTAGAAACAGATCCGGCTGGCCGGATCTGGCCAGCAGACAACCTGAGTTACTCTGAGTCTGAGCACTCCTGGACTAGTGTACTGAGGATTTTGACGCCCGCTGACGTACGGTATCCAAGACCGTTCGAAAGGGGCAGCCGCCATGTTTTATTTTTTTATTATCATCAATATTTTAATGACATTTTTGTAAGGCACCCCAATCCAGAGGTGGGAAACCCTATAGCCCCACCCCCAACTTGCAAAGGGACTACTCAAAAAGTGTGTCCGATTTGGTTTAGCCCTAAACAAAAACAAAATGTAAAAAGAAAAGCATACATAATAACTATAACTATAGGCCTACAGTACTATTATGGTTTTAAAACTAATTTAACTTGATTAAAAAAGGGTGAGATTTCCATGTGTTAATATTTTGAATCCGACTGACATTTTCTGAGGTTACTACCGGACCGAATTAACAATAAAATCGGACTCAAACAAAAGGCTAATTGATTATAAAGATATGCCTACATTATCTAAGATTAATCATAGCAGTGAAGCTCTAAGTACATCTAGGAACTAGTAGTTGAAAGTAGGGGGGGGGGGGGTAGAAATATTCTAGAATCAGAGATTAATAATAGAACGGCAGAGATGAGGTACCGGTATACGTTGAGAGCCAGATGAGCTATAATTAGTATAATTATTCTTTGAGTGGAACAATTGAACTAAGCATCATTGGTGTTAGTTATGTTAACCTAGGTCATTTGTATTACCAGACGTCCGTATTTAGTACGGACTGTTTTTATGTTCTACCCCCATGTCCGTACTTTCCTCTCGTCGTCTGGCTTGTCCATACTTTTGGCAGCGACGACTTGCTTGTCTTATTCTTATCTTATTTATCCGAAAAGGCAAGTTAACAGTTTCAGCTTCACCTCACAGACCAAAAATAGCATACTTATATCTCCAATGCTGTATCACGCAATGTTGTGTAGGAATTATCGTCATAATGTTGCCCTTTCTTTTCACAAATGAACTAGCCAGATATCGCTCAATAGTAGTAGTTCTCAGAAGCAGCAGAATTACGGTAATATTTCTTCAATGTGCTAGTTAGTACTTAGTAATTAGTAGTTAGGTGGTTCATATAATTTTTCGATTCCCGGCGCTTATGCCAAAAGTAGGTATTCACCTTTTTTTGTCGCCCCCTCTGACACTACTTTTCAGGTAAGTTATGGGTTTTGATGTTTTACTTCGCAATACTATTAATTACTAAGATCCAAGATCCTATCTAAAGCAAATGTTGGCGCCAGCTGTGACTGTTGCCGAGGGCAACACGGCAGCCAGAGCGAGACATATGGGACCACTGGGCTGGCCAATATGTGGGCGGTAGTATAAACCCGTATTTTGAACATCCCGTGACGTCATAATTGATTTCTTTGGTGTTTTTATCAATATGGGGATGGGGGCTAAAAGCGAGTTGGGGGGGGGGGGGGAAATGTCCAAAAAGAAACCCCCCCCCCAAAATGGTTCCGGTTGCCGTGAGCCTGTGTCCGTACTTCGCATCCAGAAAATCTGGCAAGCTTAGTTAATGAAATGTCTAATTTCACATTAAATTTTAATTAGAATATAAATGGGGCGATGGATATAGTACGTCCGCAAAAAAGTATAATTTTCAGACTTCCCCTCCAACATACCGGTACATACAATTACAATCATTTGTCGACCTCTCACCCAAAACAATGACGTCACAGTTAAAATGGATTTCCAAAGCTGTTTGGCAGGCCCGGTGGTTCCCAAAAATATAGCCACTATAGAGGGCCTTAGGCAGGGCCATGCAAAAGGGTGAACATCTAAATTTGACAAGGCACCGAAGTCCACCACTCACTGGCGTCATAAAATTAGGGTACCGGTACCTAAATGTTAGGCACATACAAAAAGACCATCTCATAAATGATGCAGCAGATGGGTTTTTCCAGGAGTAGATATAAATATGCTATTTGAATGAATATTCCGATAATTATTTTTTATGTCAATAGATGTAGGTACTTGTTAAGGAACAACCCCCCCACATTTTCCCCAGTGCGTTAATTATGCCGACGGCCTTTATTTTTTTCTTCTACTGCATGGCGTTAAATCAAATGTATAAAAAATATATCAAAACAACATTTTTAAATGTTATGATTTTTTTTATTTACAATGACTTCATGGGACAATATAAATTTTGTTTACAATATCAAAGATGAGCTGATGGTATAAAATGACAATGAATTGAATTAAAATCAATCGTACAATCAAAGTGCTACCACAAACAAGGCTTTAGAACACTAGGTACCACATACACATACTATTTGTCCAAACTCTCAAACTGTCTTAAGATTTTAAAAAAAAACAGTTAAACATACACGGGAATTAAAAAGACAGTTAAAATGCCAGGAAAAAACATCTGTCAAAATGGATTGATTACTCCTGAAATGATACACTACCAAAATGAATATTATCTTTTTTTACAAAGCAAAATATTCTACAATGAAATCGTTTGACTATGTAAATAAAAATGAATTGCAAATAGCTTTGAGATATTGAAGACCAGGTATTAAAAATTATTAATGAAATGAGACCTATTCAAACTTACCCTATGAAAAAAAAAAGTTCTGTGTAAATTTGAATATTCTGTTAATTCTTAAACATTTTAATTTGCATGTGATCTCTCAGATTCACCAGATCACAGAGCAAAATATACATCAGATGTGAAACCAATCACATGAAATAGTAATGAGATTTTTGTTGAAACCTCTCCTGTCACCTCACATTATACTTCATCAAAGAAAAGTGAGTTTGCTGCTAATGATTATTTAATATACGTTCAAATGAAGCGCTGCTGAAAAAAGGGTTAAAAATGTAACATACAACAAAATCCTTCATGTCTTCACAACACTTCACTCAAAAAGCAGTGTAGTTATTGCCCATCATCCTGCCACCTCCTCCACCACCACCCATTCCATCTCCATAGCCTCCACCCATATCATAGTTGTTCATGGATCCTGCAAAAAAAACAAAAAAAAAACAACAGTTATCACCTGGACAAGTAGGCAATCATAAATACAACACCAGCAAGCAATTTTCATTATTCAACGTTGAAATCATTAAAAAAAATTTTTTTTTTTTTTTTTTTTAACTGTTTTGTAAGGTACAATAAATACTACTACCTCCACTGCCAAATCCTCCGCCGCCACCACCACCACCGAAGCCACTTCCACTGCCAAATCCAGATCCTTGATTTCCAAATCCACCTTGTCCTCCTCCAAATGATGATTGAGACTGACCACCACCATAACCACCTCCAAAGCCAGATCCTGAATTGCCTCCTTGGCCAAACCCAACACCGCCAATGTCATCGTTATAGCCATTGCCAACCCCCATGTTGCCGGCACCAAATCCCCCACCCAGACCATTGCCGTAGCCGCCTCCTCCGCCACCACCAATGTTGCTCCGCATGTTTGGTTCAGAATTAAGGAACAACTCAATGTAACGATGTTCTGAAAGTATCAAACATTTAGCAAGGCTCAGTAAAATTATAACCATTAAACATTATAATAATATTAAGTGGAAAACAGGTTACTAATAGGTACTCCAAACCGCTGAGAAGCAGCGTTTTTTTTTTTTTTTTTTTACATTTTAGACAACTTCCATCAACATATTTTCTTACAATTGTACCATGCATACTAATAAAAATGATACCATTTAAAAGATTGATTCAAGCACTTTAAGAATATGATGTTTATTTTTGTATTGGTGTTAGTAAATTTTTTTGTGGTTTGAAAAACATCATCGCATCGAGTTTTTGCGGTATTTTAAAAGATCGTTTTTACCCCCCTCGGTGGCAATCGCGTTTAGCTTTGCCTCTATTTATAGAATGACCTCGGAATTGTGTCTAATGCATGCAGCAGTGAATAACCTTTAAGCTAGTATTTATAAAGTTGTATTTAATATACTAGAAATGTAAAAAAATGATATTTCTATAGGATTTAAGACCAATTCAGCTATTTAAATTTTATGGGCAGATTGCTGGTCCATTTCTACATAAAAATACGAAAACAATGGTAAAATATGAAGTATCGCGAGACCGCAGCAATTTTCCAAACAGAACCTCTAAATTTTCCTTGTACCGATCTATCGCGGCATGGACTGAAGCTAAAAAAAAATGGCCGACTCACTCGACAGTCGATACAGAAAATTGCGCTTTATCGGATCTTCTACGCTTAGCAGGTATGTAAAACCTAAATAATATGGTGAATTATTGGTTTAAAAATTCCGTTCATATGCTTTTTTCATGTATGTTTGAAATATTATTATTTTACTGACTTTTGTGTTTACCCCCACTTCGCGAATTTTACGGCCATTTCAGCATCATGAAGTAAATTGACCCCACCCATCTTTAAATTTGAATCTATTTTTTTCCTCATTTTATCAAACAAAATAATACTTTAAGTTGTAGATGATACTTCAAATTATTATTATTTTTGAATATTTTTTATAAAAAATTGTGTTACTACGTGCAATTTAAGTTTAAGAAAGGGTCACGTGACATTTTTTTATTGCGTTGGTAATGAAAACAATTTCAAACTGAAAAGTTGAGTGGTGGTGCTCTAAGACTTAAGAGTAATAAATGAAGATTGCTTATTATAATTAACTTTAATATATATAATTTAAATTTTTAAGTTTGTTATATATATAAATATATATTTATAATATATATATAAATATATATATATAAATATATATTTATAAATATATATATATATATAATTTCAATGTCATGTCCACACTAGCAATATTTAATTAAATTGAAATTTGAAGGAAAAAAGCTGTCAAAATGTTTCAATTTATAAATTGTGTGTATTCTATATTCTACAGCTGGCTGGTGAACTGTATGATGCCTTACAAAAACATTCCTGGCTAATGGAAAAGAAAGAAGATAGCTTTGCCCCATCTTATTATAGACAACACACTGTTGCCATTGCTTCTGTTGTGAAGCAAATTACACATCATGTCATGGGAGCAGGTACTTACTGTTTTTAAACTAGATTTAGAAGCCTGAATGTTTGATAGGGGAAGAATGTTTTGTGAGTTGTAGGTTGTGAAGTTGGTTCATGGTGTTGAGCTTTATGGTATGGTGAGTTTTGTTGCGTAGGGATATTAAAGGCAGTAAAAAGTTAAGATCATAACACTAACTTCTTATTGAAAGTTATTGCAACTATTTAATTTTAAAGTAATAGTATCCTTGTTCAAAACTAAATTATGTTCATGCATTTCGTTTTTAATTCCTATTTTAGCTGGAATCCTGGTTTGCTCAAATCCCAGAAGGATTTAAGATCTGACCCATGGTTGAAAAAGTTCTGAGGGAATTGATTGACCACAAAGATTTGAACATGACAGTTTTCCTGAGCCAAACTTTGGATACCCAGTATAGATTTCATGAGTCTTCTTTTGGAGTACCGTAACAAAGAGATTAATCAACTTTACACTTGAAGTGTCAACAGCACAGTCAGTTAAGTCAGAGGGAGTACTAAATGTCTGTTTTATTGATTTTTACAAAGGTTGTTTTTTTTAAATCTACAGACAAAGAGACCATTGAATTACCGGTACTTTTTGAATGGTGGCATTGATATTATTTTTCTATTCTAAAGAAGCTTATTACTAAATCTAATAACTTAAAATTAAGTGATGATATTATCCATATATCTAATTTACTCAAAATGCATTTTCAGAAGAAAGTAATGCCGGTATGTAAATTGATTTTTTAAAGTGATGTACCCATCCAGTCTGTACTTACAAATTTGCAACATTTTTTTTCTTCTTTCCTTTGCTATTGAAGATATTTTTTTTTTTTGCACAGAGTATTTCCTAATGTTAAATCAAAGAGTTGTAAAATATATATTATTATCTTATTTTATATTGTGTCCTTTGGATTTTAAGTCAAGTTTTGAGAAAAAAATATATATTAAAAAATAACATTTTTGTACACTACGTTTGTCAAATGTTTAAATTATTCTATGCTATTTTATGGTGCCAGGTATGCTTATTTTATATGAAGACTACTATTATCTTCACTTTATAAGAGATTTCATACATATAGTATGCTATTTTTTATTTTTTGTATAATTTTAAAAATGTGTAAAAAGTGTGAAATAAATTACCACCCCTTGACCATTTTGCTATTTGTCAAATATGTGTTGGGCTAAAGTACTTCTTGTTTGCATACTTGTATAGATCTTTGATTCTCTTTGAAATTGATATATCAATGATGTTTATGAGTAATTTACAACATTTTTGGTGAATTTTTAAAAATAGGTAATTTTTGTGATTTTTTGCCTCCCTTGGTAAAATTTGAAAATTTTACAAAATTCCATAACTTTGATTTCCCATACTCTTGAAAAAAATTGTGTTTGTTCTCTATATAGTATTGTGTAAATATTGTAAAGGAAATGAGTGCAGGTGACATACATTTGAAGATAATGACTCATGAATATGGGTCTTTGTCATTTCATAAAAGGTAACCCGAGGAAAAAAATTTAAAATAGCATAACTTTCTTAATAAAGGTCATAAAGTCAAAAATTAAATATCCACATGCTTAGAATTCTTAGATCTTGCATCTTAAACACTCAAAAATGTTATTAGTTTAGTTTGAAAATTTGGTTTGGGGTACCTAATACTAATGCTTTAAATAGGCTTTGTATAAAGAAATATTAAGTAAAGAAATTATACCTACATTAAATTGAGCTAACACTGTTAATTACATATTCATTGGTGACGCATCATCTGACAGTAAAAGTAATTTTTATTACACAACCACCCGCAACTTTAAAGGATGTTATTAGAGTAACTATTCCAGCTATATTTTTTATTGTAATAAATCCCTTACGCATGTTAGTTTTGTGCTTCTTCATGGCTTCAACAGCCTCCTGGTGTGTGGCGAAATCTACGTTTGCTTCACCTGTCGGTCTCCCATTATCACCGAACTCAAATTCACAGCGAACTGGTTGGATCGGTGAAAAGAACTGACAAAGAAAAACAAAAAACCCAGTCAAACATCAATAAAATAGATCAATAAATATAAAAGTACTAGAACTAATCAAAGCTATTAGCAACAAAGTTGATGCCGCTGTTCGAGGTAAAAAAGAAGACACTCACATCAAACACATCTTGTTCAAGAGCTTGAAAAGGAAGACCCCTCATGTGGACTGAATGACCAGTTTTACTGACATAACATGCTCCAGGCTGCATGCCTCTACGATCCATCATGTCCATTCCCATGCCTCTGCCACCTCGCATCATACCCATGCTGCCGCCACCTCCACCTCCACCACCACGACGCCTCATTCCAAAGCCCATTCCTCCTCCAAATCCATAGTCGTCATAGTCATCATCATACAAGCCTAGGACACAAGAGTAAAGAAATTAACATCTATCTGCAAACTTAAGACTCACATAGATATAAATAATCAACTAACACAGTGGACGGCAAATTGTGAGCTTCATGCCGCTCGTTAGAGGCCAGAGTGTGGTTCGGCCAGTCATCCACAAATAGGCATTGACTGCCAAAAACATGGTTCTTGAAAAGTAATTTAGGTCCCAAATTTTTTGTAATCGTCCTGATTTTTGGCTCTTTTGACTAATGAGTTTGCCGACCACTGAACTAACATGACAGGTTACCCTACAGAAAATGGTAGCATCAAAAAAATAGAACCCATAAAAAAAAAAAAAAAAAAGTGAGTACTAATAGTACCATGTAAGGGAATGCGAGTCTAAATGTTTAGAAAATCCTCTCACCTTTGAGGCTACGACTGCGTCCTAAAAAAAAACCCATAAAAAAAAAAAAAAAAAAGTGAGTACTAATAGTACCATGTAAGGGAATGCGAGTCTAAATGTTTAGAAAATCCTCTCACCTTTGAGGCTACGACTGCGTCCTCGTCCATATCCCATTCCTCCCATACCCATGCCCATTCCGAATCGGTCACCCCTGTCGTAGGGTCCGGGCCGAGCAGGCATACCTCCACCCATTAAAGGACGAATACCTCCACGCATTCCACCACCTGCTGCATTAGCTTCTGACATGCTACTTTTGAAGATTTCAATATACCTAAATAAAATATTTAAAAAGTTTAAAAATACAAATCAGATAGCAGTTTTGAAATTTGCTATTTAAATGCATTAACTCCAATATGCATCATTCCTTGTATCAGCGTCATTTGAGCCTTCAGTGTAAAAATTGTGGAGTTACAAAATTGACGCGGATACATTAAGTAAGTCTTGAATTTTTATTATGTCACGGGGACATAAATATTTTGAACCAAAGCAGACTTATATTGATTTTTAATTAGAACTAGTTCCTATGAAAACTATTTCCGGTAAGTATCTAGGTATACGATAAGAAAGCATTTTGAAATAAAAAATATATAAAAATCAAAATGACATAGTCATACAAAAAGTAAAACTATTTTGCTAACCTCACTTAAAAACATAAGAAGTTAATCATTTAAGATTTAAGTTATGGCCATACTGCAAATAGCTACTACTATTCAATATCCAAAATAGCATGGTAATAATTTGTAATTGTTCAGATGAAGTGAGATCATTATTATATAATAGCTTATCAATACAATAAACATTAAGCTATCTTAGATGAATTTTTTTCTTAATGAGATCACCAATAGCAAGTTTTGCCACTCCCATGTGATTATTTTCTAAAAGTTGTCAGCAAACACTCTCTTTAAAAAGAAGATCCCTCAAAGATAATTTTACTGAAAACTTAAAATTGTATTCAGCTCATTAAAAGATGTTACACTATCACAAATTTCAAAGCATGAAGATTCTTTCCAGCGAAAATAACTAATCAGCTACATAGACAGAATGAAGGAATAATTAAAAAGCACTTGACACCAAGACATTCTCTCGATATCTAATGCCAGGACTCTGCTGTTTTTTTCTTCTGTTTGCGCAAATCCATTTTCCAATCTTCAAATCACCTCTGCCATTCTAATCATACTTACAGATCATTGTGAGCAATAGGACAAGGCAATAAACTTGCATGACATTTTTTATACATGACCAACCATTTTAAGATGCCTGTAAAAACCCCACCTGTGACCTATCCTTTCTTTGTGTTTTTCCAAAGCCCTCTCTGCTATTGATGGCGTTGCAAATTGTACAAATGCCTCCCCTGTGCTTCTCCCCTGACGATCTTCAGGGAGCATAATTCCATTTGGAACTATCTCCAACCCTATAACCCCCACCCAACCATTGGGCAAAGAGAGAAGGAATCAGTAAAAAAATGTTTAGGATTATTACAGATTATACAATATAATTACATAGACTAAGACAACCCAGACAAATAATCTACATATATTATCTTAAATTTTTTTTTTTTAAACTCTAAATTTTAATTTGAGCATATATATATATATATGTCTTAACCCATTACACCCTTTTTGTGAGAATAATCTTAATTGATTAAATTAATTTAAAGCCCTTAACTTGATGACAACATGTAATCAATTATGTCAAAGAAAACATTCAGGGCGATAGCACACACTACTAACCATAATAATAATGGAACAAGTACAGAAAGTAATCAAGGCTGCACTGTTAAGGTGTGTAACGAGTAATTATTTTTCTAGTTTTACTAATGGAAATTGTTAAAAAATATCTATATGCTGAAATTGTAAAAGTTTCTTAATTATCACTGCTAATGATTTGTAATAATTTAAATATTTTTCTAATGCTAAAAAAAATAAAATAATGTTGCATGACCCCAAAACAGACATTGTTAATAAGTGATATAATGTACAGGGTGTAATCGGCTAAAAAGAACCATATGTACCATAAATGTAATCAGTAAAAAAGAATGATATCTACCCTTTAATAACTCATTTGTAAAAACTATTGTTTCTTCAGAATGAAAAAAAAACAGATCCACATATGATATACTACATTTAATTTTATAGATTTTTAATTTTTTTGTTTTTACTTATTCCTTTGTAGCACAATAATAAACTCAAGAGAAAAATACATCACAAAATAATATAAGGCCATTACCTGTAAAAAACTGAGCTATTTCCTCTTTTGAACAGCCAAATGGCAAACCTCTTAGTTTCACAACAGCTTCAGCCATACCCCCTGCAACACTAGCCCCAGCTCTTTTTATCATCCATTCCATCTCAGATTTATCCACTCTGAAAACTTTAAACAAAAAAAAATTAAATTAAAATTAAAGCGTAATTCATTTATAATTTAACTATGTCAACGCATAGTAAAAATGATAATTCTTTACGTACATAACTCAACTTTTGTAACTGCACAATACCTATCTGTGGTTTGCTTTGGGACTTGACTGCTTCATATTATAATAATTTTTAAATGATCAAATTTTTAAATATCTAAGTTATGTTTTTCAAAATGATTAGCTAACCTTCAATATATCTGTTGCCAATATGCTCATTGTTCTGAGCGAGAGCATTGGTGACGTCTTCCTCAGATTCAAGCTCAACAAATGCCTCACCACTAGGTCTTCCTTCCCGAGAATATGTGAAATGAACACCATCTTCTCCACCAGCAATGTTGCATTCTTAAAATAAAATGTAATTAAATGAAAGTTAGGCAAACAAATGAATTTGTAATTTCCCAAAACGAAATGTGTGTGCGGCATAAGTATTTAAAAAAAATATAATAAAATAACCATTTTACAATGATTCACAACTTCAAACTTCCTTCAGCAATATATTGCCGATCTGGTTACTTTGCGTATAAAATTTATCTTCATCAGTATTTATTACACACAAAAAATCACCTAAAATTCAAGATTTAAACCTTCCATACAAACATTTTATGAATGAAACGGTGAAACTCAATGGTCAAAAAGCAGTAATCACAAAAATTTTGTATGTAAAGAAAGATATTTATTTCAATTCAGGCCATTTCAACTAACAATTAAATTATGAACGATCACCAATTAAATTACACCAGAACTGCTACCAAAAATCAGCATCTGTTGATCTTAATGACTAAATTGCTATTTATCAGTTTAAAAAAAAACTACAATGAGTTTGATCTGAAAGCTGTGATTAGTTATTAGGGAGGAGATAACATGTTAGAATGAGTGTGCAGCAGAGGTGAGAATTAATGAATTTTTCTTGCTATGATATGTCTGCGTTGTGTGTATCAAAAAGAAATTAATTGACGTGGATATAGTTAAGTCACGCATAGCATTTCAAAAACTACCTCTCAAAAAATGAACCACTTCATCTGCCTTGGTGGACCATGGCAGACCACGAAGCCTCACAACAAATCCTTCTGACATGATAACCTAAGAAGAAAATTTAAAATGGATTACAAAAGTGAAACTAATCACAAATGAACTTGAACAGATTAAGTACAGGTTGATAGTTTTTTCTCATTTGTGACAGTGCAATGTGTCTCAACGCAGGGATAATTTATAATTTGTTTTAACCCTATAACTGTCATAATGGTAGATCATTGACCATTATACAGCTGTCTGTTGTGTCATGACAGATTTCGGTCAATATAATAAGAGACTCGGAAACAGTGACCTATCAGTTTTTGTGATACAGTGATTCTATGAAATTAATATTCTACGAATTTTTGTGTGTGTCACTGACAGGGTTATAACCACCCAATGAGCATATATATATATCATAAATATACTCTCCTATGTTAGTTAATAAATAAAAATGTGGCTTAGTTTAATAGAAGCTACGTTCTATTTATAAGGTTAAACTTTATTATGTTATTTAATTTCAACGTTCCAAAAAAAAGTTATGGGCTCCCTAAGCCGGCGGGTGTTGGTGTAAAAACAAAATGTCACCAAACCGATAGTTAATTTTGTACAACCGAGATGCCGTATTTTGCTCTAATCACTGTCAATTATTAAGTGATTCGTTATTGTGGAATCCCTTACCATCTGATTAATTCTAAAAAGTTTTAAATTAATAAAACATTATAACCAAACTTAAAAAGTTTTTGGTTGTGACTAAGGCTTGCTTGTTACCGTAGTTTTATCAATTTAATCGAGAATTCGGTTCTCTCTATACTTAATCCTTTAGCTCTCTGCAGTCCGACTATAGAGAAATGGTACTTATAAGTACCATAGATCTTGTGGGTGGGTTATTTATTTTTTAACTTAAATTTTTAATTAAAAAAATTTATGTATTATTAGGTAGTCCAAACTTAAGCAAAAATGCGATTTAGGGTCATTTTTCGAAGTTTTCAAAAAAATATCTTCTAGTGGCGATACAGCAATAAAATTTATATGTTGAATTAAGTTTAAGTCTTTATCTGGCAAAATGTGTTACTTGTATGACTGTAACATGTGTTTGAAAGTGTTTTTTATGTGTTTGAAAAGTATCAGTTTTGACCAATTTTTCGCGAGTACCAGTTTACCCCAAGGTGTTTCAAACGCCCACGGCTTCGCGTGTATTTAAGTTATTGCAATAATTCTACCACCATAAGAAAGATGATTAAGCAGATGATGTCCTTTCGTTTGATGCATAGAAAGTATATCTACCTCGCTTATTTCATTTTGAAAAAGCCGGTTGAAAACTTTCGTATTAAAAAATGGACGAAAACATGGAGATATTAGGACGTTCCCTACACAGTTGGAAAGATCAGGTCTTTAACTATTTAATATCATGAAATCAAATGAGTGGGCATAATTCTCGCGAAGCGGCGATGTTTACAAAAAAACACCCTCATTTCCAGTTCCACACCGCTTGCACTAAGACGCCTAACGTGCGCTTGGTGACTAGTACCAGCATTATGGCGGGTGCATTTTTAGCCATGTTGGGGCTTTTAATCAACAAGTAAGTAATATAATTAAATTTTCATATTAATGTATTAGTGAATGTAAATGTTGATTAGAAGTGAGTTAAACTTAATTTGGTGTCGTCAGCTATTAGATATTATTTTAACGAATTGGAGCTATTGTGAACTTGACTAGGAGACATGTTGCAGATCGGACCAAATGTATTTAATTGAGGACAGTCTAGCGATAAAAAAAATTGATAGACATGTCGCAGACATGCTAAATGTTTGATCTTTCTTATATTTTATAAATATAATTTTAAAATAAAGATCGTATTGTTGATTTCAAAGGGGGTTTCTGTCCGATCGAGAAAATAAAAATGGATGCCGGCGAGTAAACATTGGGGTGGACCGACGTAAATTTTTATCTGGGGTAGGAGGCTTCAAGTGAATAGAACATTATACACAGCAAAATAATTAAAAAAATAATTTTTAAGCTTATCTTGACAATGAGATTTTGAAGCATTTATTAAAACTCAATAAAACGTATTTCTGAGTTAGAATTGTTTCAATATTATTTCATCTTAGACTCACTAGTACTACCGGTACCTATAGGCCTATTGAAATGGACTCGCCCAGTTGTCTCAATATTTAGTCTTTATAGTACACCTATGAATACCGGTACTTAAAACAATGTTATATGCTCTCTAAGTTTAATCCTTCATTCCACAGCGGAGAAACCTATGATGACCCTGGGTGCAACATTGTGGCTAGAGTTGACAATTGCTTTTGATAATGTACTTATCAAGCTACTGGGGAATAAGACCAAAAAGCATATTACAAATTGGTTACAGAAGCTTACCCAGTCACCCCTCAGTTGACAGACCAGGCATTTCTCTATTTAATTAAAATTTATGCTCAATAGCTTTGTATTTTTGACAATACTCTGCATTGATATTTTTTTAATTAGTCTTTTAATTAATAGTTAACACATCTGACATCATATTCCTTTGATTTTATCACAATTATGTGATAAAATGCATTATCTAATCACATAAAAAAAAAAACGTTAAGTGGGTACTTTTAGACTTATTTTAGTGCCTTTAAGTGTTTATTGATGATGTTAAGGCATACAGCATGTTGTTCTGCTTAAAATTATCTTTAATTTGATGTATGACATATTTATGTAAGGCAATAACAGAAATTTTAACAAATTTTTGAAAATGTGTATTTTTACACTTTTCCTGTCGGAAAATAAAAATGACTAAAAATCATTCTCGTTATTTTTTTATTAGATCTGGCTGCTTGAACAAAATTGGGCTTTAATATTGTAAACTTTGGAGCATATACACCAATTCCTGGACTTCTCTGTTGATTATTTTAGAAAATATAGGTCCTTAAACATGGCACTTTTTCACAAGGTAAAAAAATCAATTTTTGGTCGACTTTCAGCAAATTTGAAAATCGCATAACTTTTTTGTTTATTGAGATATCTACATGAAATAAGTGGCCTATATCTTAGAATAAAAAGTTCTGTAAGGTGAAACTCACCACATATGTCTGCTATGTATAGAAAATTTTAGTTTGGACTACCTAGTATTATATTATTCAACCAATAAAAAAGAAAAGCACTTATACTTATAACTAAGCCCATGTCTTTTTTCCAGTGTTCATCTTGGGGTAATCAGCAACGATGATTTTCTCTTTTTATTTCTTTTGAAACTTGAAAGTTTAATTTTTATAAAAAACTGAATGGAAAATTACATTATTTGATATTAACGTTATCGATTGTCAAATTATGCTGTTTATGAAGCAAATAACACTCAGTTAAGGATAGGACTCATCGGCCAGGTCCACTATTGTTTGTCCTGCCACCATAAGTCCAGTATTGAACCCCCCAAAGTGATGTCACTGCGCTGAGGGTGCGAAAACTCTTAGCAGAAACCCATGCCGCTAACTAAACATTTACCGGCTTTTCTAGTTGTTTAAAGTGGCATGACTCAAAATTTAAGACAGTCTATCCTTGCTTTAGTTGAGAGACCATCGGAGGTTGACAACAGGAAATTTCCCCGGCCGATTTTCCCCCGACCCACAAAGTATTTGCCTCTGCATTTAAAACTTTAGGCCTAATGTTCAAATAAATATTGGGATCCACAAGTACTACTAATACTATAGATGCGGATCCAAATATTTTTAATTTATGGAAATTAAAATTGTAGAGATGTGCAATAAACACAAAAAAAAAATCACCCTTTGACTTTGGTCATTTTCAACATTTATTTATTTTGGCATTTTGCCAATAAATATAATATTGGCGTTAACTGTTTTAGAATATGATGTTAAAAAAATATCTGCAATTGTCTCAATTGATAAGCTGCTACTTACTAGGCTTAAGACCTCAGCCATAATTTGTTAACTTACAGTAAAACAGTACTATAGGCACTTGGATACAAAATTTTAAAAAATTCAAATAATTTTTTTAATAGCACAGTTAGTTAGAGCTAATTTCAAATAAAAAAATGAAACCAGAATCAACTTTTTAGCTTAAGTACTTTTTGAGCTATGAATTTTTAAAGTGTGAGTTCGTTTGGTATTTTTTACTATGGACGAAACCTCCACATCTTGTGACCTCATTCCGCTGATCGCGTCATGACTATATACTTTATATAAGGCAACGCATCGCCTTATCACTAAAATACTGTTTAGGGTCGACTTAGTTTAAACTTTCAACTTTGGCACATGAATAATTAATTAAAGCTTTCCCTGACCAATGGTATAGTAGTTTTTGCACACGGCAAACTCTTATGAATGAAACTCTGAGGTAGTACTACGATACAGCCGTTATGCAAGTGGCTGTGAATGGTTGCCAATGACAACGTGTTGCACACGGTAAATTCTGATCATTTATAATATGGATTCTACCGGGTTGTTAAAGCTCAAATTAAAACATTCCAGTTTAAATGTCTTCAAAATGCATTCTGAAACACAAGTTATCAAATATTTTGATGTAAATAGTGGTAATAAATTAATATTTCCTAAGTATCGGCAACTTCCGCCATTAAAAAGGGGGCGTGGCCAACCCCATGGCGAAATTAGGTTGAGCGAGCTGCATGACCTGCTGCGAACGCGCAGAAACATAGCGTCTCTCGTAAGACACTTATCGCTGTGAAAATTGGCATACATGTAGATCAATAGATTCCCCAGATGCAAAAAAAATTTGGTAGTGACAAATTTTTTCCTTCGACTTAATTTTAATGATGAAAGTTGCCTTATATTTACCAAGGATTTTCTCAAAGCTGACTGATTGTAAATGAAAAAGAAATTGATTAAAATGTAGGCCAAGATGTCTACCTAATTATAAGGCCGAAAACGGAACTCAAATACATATCGAAAGTACTAATTTAATAATAAATAGACACACACATCGGAAAATTAAAAACTCGGATTTTTTGGCGCCGATTGCGAAATCCCATACACAAAAAGTAGTAGTCTCCCTTGACTTACCGAAGTACCTACAGTACTACTACAGTTTAATAAATACTTACACTTTACACTTCCAGAGTAGACACCTTTGCCTTAGTTTTTAAATGTTAAAATTTATTAAATATATTGTCAATATTAGGAGAATGGATATTTCCTGGAAAGGGGATGTTTGATACTGTCAAATTCTACTAAAACAATGGACAGTGGCGTCATGCAATCTTTCCACTAATGGGTAAAAGACAAAACTGCGTGAAACCATCATGTCACTCTTGGATTCATCATGACGTCTATGAACTTCCTTTATGGCCTAGCTAGCTCCTTGGCTGGGCATGGCGTGGCTTTGCAAATGACTTAATACATTAACTCGATTTGTAATAATTAAACTCCATTTAACATTGTTATTAAATGTAATATAAATGTAAACTTACTACTCCTTTGTTGGTCTGATAAATGTATCTTAAGATGGACTAAATGTAGAAAAAACAACTAATCCAACGTTACGAACGGTCAATATTTCAGCCGCCGCCAACGCCGATGGTTCATCAAAGGAATTATGGTCAGATTTTTGTAAAATGTGTTATATTTAAATTTATTTTCGTTTATTAATTGTAGAGAAAAGTAGAATAATATTTATGTAGTTTCTTAATTTATGGTCTAATTTTGTATTGAATTATAACATTATTTATTTATTAGTTCATCTTCGTGCTGAGACTAAGTAATAAAATATTCAATACAATTATGCGTTCAGAAGAAAGCAGTGCCTTTGACAATTTCGAAATGAAAGAATTTTGGGGGATTCTTGTCAGTGAAGTGCTTTCTAATAAAAAAAAAATCATAATCATACATTTTATTTCAGAACTATATATTTAGAGTTAACTAATCGCCGTATAATGCAGTTCATAACAATTACAGCATAGGCTATATTTATGAGAATTGAATATTATGTAATTATAATGTAATTATGTAATTATAATATCTAATAAATAATATAAATATATTATTCTATATCTTGTTAAAAAGTTGTTAATAATTAGGGTTGGTAATAATTTAATATTTGAAAAATTAAAAATGTATCAATGCAATTTGAAAACTACAAAAATTAGTCATAAATAAAACTCCAGTTTTTTTAACAGCGTCTTGGATATAAAAGACTTCAGTACAAACAGGCAATCCGACATATATTTTAAGATAAAGGAAATAAAAAGAACCTCCACATATTAGATTTTATATTCAATCCATTTTTCGGTTTCAAAATTTTTAACATTTGAAATTATAAAACTAATTATTTTTAAAGCATTTGATTGGAATCGCTTCATATTTATTGAAAGTCTACATGGTTCTTTGTGCAATAAATCGGTGTACGGAAGTAGGATTGCATTGTTACATCCGGTTTTGGTATAAACAAACGCCATTGTTTTTGTTTTTATCGAGAATTCCTCTTGAATTTCTATCAGTAATCATCGATATCCAAATGGCTACATAAAATAACAAAAAAGTATAAAGATAAATGGAGTGATGTTAAATTTAAAATCCTGTGCATAAACTCTTCAAATTGAAATTAGCTTTTCAAGATGAGCTTCCTTTTGTAAGTTGATGTATGCACATATAACTGCATATAATTATAAACATTTTTGGGCTACTTCAAAGTTGCTTAAATTATGCCTAAATTATGGCAAATATAGTGTAAAGCTACTAAATTCAATCATTCTCTATATCAGTATTTAACAACAGTGGTTATCATGAAAATCGCGACTGGTAGAGTGTGGGAGAAATTAATAATTAAACTGTAGAGTAGTTAGATTAATTTAATTAACTTAATTCATATAAATATAATATAAATACAGGCTATACTATATTATATATAGGGCCTTTTTTCCAAAACAATGCCTGATCCATAATCGGAAACTATATTGATCCAAATTCTCTTTATAACCTATTTATTAAAGAAATGACAGTAAACCACGGCACGGCTGCCATCTTGGTTGCCACTACCTGTGAAAGGTCACCCTAAACATATCCCTTGAACACCTAAACCTAACCTGATCCCCAAATCTATTATTAAGTTAAATAACCACATATGAATTGTGAAAATTGTCTGCTTTAGCCTAAACCATACTTTTTCCCAAGCTTATTTTCAAGTTATTTAAAAGCTAAAGAAGGGGCACATAACTCTTCAATGACATGTCACAAGCAGAAAAATTATTCATCCAAGTACAATTGTATTATCTTAGTCTTATTGTTAAAAATGCAAATTATAAAAATGGGCAAATGTGGACTATCCGCTCCATGACATGTTGCATGTTCAAAAAAACTAATGTCTGCTAAACCTTAATTGGCTCCACCTAACTGCACTGCATACATCTTTTTAATTATTTTTTTATAAAAAATTGTTAAAGTTTCACCAAAGTACCTTCTGATACTGACAATTCAAATAATTAGGACAGAGGATTCGGTAAATTTTGACTACGATTGCCACTATTTTCTCAATGGCCGCCATCTTGGTTAACACGTCACGTGAAGTCATTTATGCCTAACCTGAACCCTAAATCGATCCCTATGTCTAACCTGAACCCTACGATCAATATGCCTAACCTGAACCCTAAATCGATCCCTAAAATAAATTAGTAAAAATAAACAAAGGGAAGTCACTCCCTGGAAAATAAGTCGTGGCAATCGTAACTAGGATTAGGCAAGAATTCTTTTGTGTTTGAGTAAATGGAAACTCTCCCACAGATGATAAATTTAGTAAATGAGTAAATGCTTATAAAGAGCATACCATGTAATAACAAATGTACTGATAATTGGATTTAGTAGGTCTATAGTCTACAGATAGCAGGGATGGCCAACTCTGAAGGCTTCACAGGCCACTGAAGGCAAGGCAACTTTTTGTGGTCCACATGTCATTACACTTATTTTTTAAAACACCCAATAAATGCCGTTAGGAATTATTGATAAATTTTTAATGCACAAAACAAAATTTCTTCAAAAACTAATCATCAACTAACGTGATGGTTTGATTTGGAACTTTTCGCTCACTTAACTTTTTAAAATCAATTTCTGTGTAAATTAAATTGAGTGAAGAAGTTTGTTATATATCCGGGTGGCTGCAATATAAAACTTGACAGGTTGGCCATGCCTAACCCATACTGACCACAGCATTCAGTGATCAGAGAATGGTTCAGGTGATGGTCCGGGTAAATGCCTAACCCATACTGACCATAGCATTCAGTGATCAGAGAATGGTTCAGGTGATGGTCTGGGTAAATGGTAATTGATGCCTTCCAACCTGCAGGTTAAAAAAGCGTTGATAAAGTCACATAATTAAGTACAACAGCAGGAGAAACTGTAGTGGAAAAAAATGTACAAGTGAGATTAATTAATAGCTTTTTCAATTAATTATCAAATTTTAAATGCCAACAAACTTTGCCCTTTTGATAATTTCTGGATTAGTTTGAAACATAAATAAGTGATATCAATGAAATGTTTAAACAAGATCACTACTCTTGTAACTTTATACAATTTTAAAATTAAAGTTTCATATTTCACCATATCTCCTGATAGACCAAATTTTTGGTGCATGGACCATACTTGGTGCATGTTTCTCTGAGTCTGCAAAATTATGTCCCCTTAAATTTGGAGCTAAAACTAAATGCCATGCTATACTAGGTACAGTATGCAGAAGGTGATAAATTTGAACAGATAAAAAATAACAATTAATATATTTGACACCCAGCCTTGATGATTCAATGCCAAGTTGGTGAAGCATTTGACTATTCCATTTGATATACTTTGAAATGACGTTTCCCTACCCATTCTAGGCCAGGAATTCAAACAAAGTTAACAGTTTTTATGGTTTGGAAGGACTCTTAGATGAGTGGACGGCATCATGGTTTAAAATTTCTCATCTGCAATACCTTGATTTTAATTTCATGTCCCACGTGACACGTCTGAATATAAATTTTGTTTAAATTTTGTTTCTTCAGTGGAAGTCGAAGTAATAAAACATTCAAACCTAAAAAAAATATACCAGAGGGTACACATCAGTATGATTTGATGAAACATGCAGCCGTCACATTAGGTAGTGGAAACTTACGGCAAGCCGTTCAACTACCTGATGGGGAAGACTTGAATGAGTGGGTGGCTGTAAATAGTAAGTTATACAACTTACTTTTTTTTTTTTTTTTTTTTTTTTTAGTTTTTATTTAAAAAAGATTTTTTTTTTCATATACCTGTTAAACTAAAAAAAAAGGATTTTTTAATTTGGTGTGAACAAACTGCAGTAAAATCTTACTTTTAACTTTGAATGTGCATCAGTTCATTTATATAGTGAAGAATTACCATTCAGTCATTGTTTTGCTGTACGGGTGGTGAATAAATTTAAATATGAGTTAAATCTGTTAGCTCACATAAGTGGAAAAGCTATTTGAAATAAGCCAAAAGAGAATGCAAGTCGTCCACCTATTGCTTATCTGCAAATTTTAGACGTGTTGCTAGTTGCTTCTCTTCAATGACAGCACATTCATATTTTATTTTAATTTATATTCTACCACTGACCACACTTACTGAAATATTGATTTGAAAATCTGCAGATTGTTGAAAAATTATACATATTTAAAATTTAAACATCATGGTGAATAAATTACTGTGATGTATCTCCATACTTAAGAGCAGCATTATGTAGACTCTAAGGAAATAAAATAGTTGTCATAAAATTTTTGTTGGTGAACTGCTTAAGAACATCGTACTAATCTCTCCACAGCTGTAGATTTCTTCAATCAGATCAACATGCTGTACGGAACCATCACTGAGTTCTGCTTAGAAGAGACCTGCCCTGTGATGTCAGCGGGTCCAAAATATGAATACCACTGGGCTGATGGTCAAACTATTAAGAAGCCCATCAAATGTTCAGCCCCTAAATATATTGATTATCTGATGACGTGGGTGCAGGATCAGTTGGATGATGAGGCTTTATTTCCTTCCAAAATAGGTGAGGAACAAAGATGATCTGTTTTGATGGTGGCATGATCAATGTTCAGTTGGATTTTAAACAAGTTATCAGTGTTTGAGAGGGAAATTTGACTTGCACATGAAATGGAAATTTTTAAGAAAACTTGTTAGCATTCTAGTTATATCAAAATCTTACATAATAAAGTTTCAGTCAACCATCTTTTCAGTTGTGTGTGTCTTAACATGCACACTGAGATTTGCAACCTTTCTCTATTCCATTTCTAATCTCTAATTCGATAATTTTGTTGATGTGCATATAACTATAGTTTTCTTATAATTGCTGTAAAATTGTTTCCTTTATGTTGCAGGTGTTCCATTCCCTAAAAACTTTCTGTCCATTGCTAAAACAATCTTGAAACGCCTTTTCCGTGTTTACGCACACATATATCATCAACATTTCAAGGAGGTGGTTCAGCTCAGTGAGGAAGCTCACCTCAATACCAGTTTCAAACATTTCATCTTCTTTGTTCAGGAGTTCAACCTCATTGATCGCAAGGAGCTGGCTCCTCTCCAAGAACTCATAGACAGACTGACCAGTAAAGATCGATGAAACCCTAGGGGGGGGGGCTCCAAATTTGTTGGCCTACGTTTCCCACAGCTATTAGCCCGAATATAAGTTTATTTCAAGTGTACCATGTATCTTTAAACGGTTTTAGTTAGCATTCTGAGTGATAAAATAATCTGAGCTTGGACTCCTCACTTGTCACATTCCATCGTTACAGTGTTAACAACACCTCATTTGCTGGTGCTTAACTACAGGCTCTGCTCTGGCTGGGGCCGGTCTAGACAAATTCATGTTTAATCATGACATTGTTTATGAACCATCTTAATCCTTTTTTTTTTTTTTTTTTTTTTTTTTTTAGAGCTTTAGAGAAATCTTTATTCATTAGTCTTAATTAAAAAATTTTTTTGTAAATATAATTAGTTGTTAGGGAGATCCACAACGTTTGATTTGTATTTGTAAAACACCCCCCCCACCCCTCCCCCCCCTCTTTCTTTTACAGTGAAGATTAATCACAAAAACTTTACTTTAATCTTCTATATCATGTATATCCTACCAATATTCAAAACTGTAGTTATCTTTATGATATGCTGATGGCTTATTTTAATGGGAAACACAGGCTACTAAATAATATCCCACATTACCCAGTAGCAAACAAGTGTTAAAATACCTAGTAGCATACAAGTGTTAACAAACGGGTTAGATTTTTCACCACATTACCCAGTAGCATACAAGTGTTAACAACAGGTTCAAGTTTTGACACAATAACTTTTAGCAAGAAACAAAACAAGTGGTGTTTTTTTTAGTGAGGGTTGCCATGCATGTTACTTGTTGAATTTTCACAGGTATCCACTTTTCACATTCTGTCAGACATTTGATGTCTTTAAAGGATAGCTCCTTGTTATGTTCGGGCTAGTAGTTTTGTTTTTTGTTTCAATATAACATAATTTTTGTTTAGGGATACATGTATATGCACCAATAATTTTCAAAAGTGTGAGTTTTAAAGATTTTTGTTTTTCTTGTTAATGCACTAATTCAAATGTATGGTAACACAAAACGCAGCTTTCTCCTACATTATTAGGCAGTAGATCATGCATTATTTTATAATTATTCAAACTTGGAATATTACATTTTTAAAAAATTTTCATGACTTTTTAAATACATTTACAAAGTAGATTTTGCTAGTTAATCTAGTTGCAATAAGTTCCATTAGTTAATATACTTCCTTCCTCCTGTAAATTTATTTGATTCTTTTTATTCCTTGAACTGACTTTTGATGATTATTCTCTATGGCAGTGGTTTCCAACTTTTTTTGACAAGCAAGCCCTTTTTTAGAATCAATTTCTATTGGGGGAGGGGGAGGGAAGGGCGCCTTGGGTCTACCCTATGTCTTACAATTTAAAGGTATTTAGGAGTAGTCTGGGGGCTCAGATAAGCACAGGTTTGGAACCACTGCTCTACGGTATGGCTGAATTTTCTAGCGTTTGATAGCACAATTAAAGATGGTCTTTTATTAAATGCACCAGACAATTAATCAATGTGACATGTACATGAGTTGCCTGATGTCAATGTAGGGAAAATGCATCAATTATTCTATGTGACATGGACATGAGCTGCATGATGTCAATGTAAGACAGTTGAATCACTTAAAATTTTTAGTTTTCCTATTTAAAAAAATTAATTTCCAGTCTATTCTGCTCATACTACACATAGCTCTCAGCACTTGCTGAAAAGTTCATATCAGTTTTATTCACTGGCAATGTTTGTCTTGTAATCTTAAAATCCCCTGTGTAGTTAGAAATCAAATAAAGTAAGAAAATAATTTGTAGAAATGCAACGTTCCTTGTTTGAAATAGTAGTTTTAATGAAAGCACAATAACTGATAACACTACTGGTCTTACTTGAACTTTAAATTAATGAAATTAATCTGAGGAAGAAATGAATTACCGGTATCCAATTATTTTGTTTGTGTGCAGTGTAATTTTGCCTTTTGATGAAAGTTAATAAATCCATGAAAGAGGCCTTTCCACAGCTACATTTGACGACCTTTCAACTGCTACATTTGACAACTTTTCAACTGCTCAATTTGACAACTTTTCAACTGCTACATTTGACGACCTTTCAACTTCTACATTTGTAGTACAACACAGAACAATGCTTTTTCTCCTCCTTCAAAAATAACTGTTTCCTGTTTAGATACACTTGTAAGAGAAATGTGTGGTTCTTAAATTTGATGTTTTTCTTATATTGCTCACCAAATACTCCAGACCTAATTTTAGTTGGATATTTTCACGCAAATCATGACATATCTTGAATGCTAATAATTTAATTGGGGGGGGTGTGTGTGTGTGTGTGTGTATGTTCTTACATTTAAATGGTAAACTTATTGATTTATGACAAATTATCAAAGAATGCTGTAAGCTGAACAGAGACTGCCTTTAATTTCGATTGCAAATCATATCTAGAATGTGTGTTAAAAATTGTCAAGATAATTGTTTGAAAAGCTCCGCATTGGTATATCTGAATCAAGTGGCTTAAGTTGGCACTGTATGTCTGCTATTGAATTCCAAATGAGTATTTACGGACCAATATGTCAGATTTATTACCGGTATGTATATGTCTTGTTATTGATGCATTATTTTAAATTATGCTAACATACTAGTAAGATGATCTGTTTAGAATTAAGCTCAGTAGATTTGTTATTTGTTTTTCTAGTTTTTAGTTTGATATCAAAAGCTCATTTTTTTTTCAGGGCAAAACTTTTTATTCAGTAGTTAAGTAGTACCGGTATCACAAGTAGTTAGATATTTTGTTACTGGAGTAAAAGTTTGAAATCAGATGTAGTCAAGGGGTTTCCTACAATAAACTTCAAAACTCTGAATAGACAACATCGGTATTTTACTGACACATGTGACATATTTACCAATTATTTGTAGATTACAAGTTTACGTCTTCAGGCGTGCACCGAATTTCAGCTTTAAACAAATGTGAGGAGCCCTGTGGAATATAGGTATGGATATGTTGAAAACTATTAACAGTGCTTACCTCTAGTGCAATCAGAGGGTTTTAAGTTCTAGATACTGTATATCCAGGATAAGCATAGTTTTTTGTTTTTTTTTAAATGAAATCTCATTTTGATTTTTTTTAAATCCATAAATTCCATTTTTATGGATCTACTTTTGAGATTTCGTTTCAGTCATAATTATTCAGGATCTACTTTGACATTTGAATTCAGTCATAACTGTTCTCCTCTGTGGCAACAAGCTGAAAACAGTGCCGCTAGATTATAACTATAACAGTGAATTATGAAAGCCACAATTATATTGTAATTGTATCCTTTTCTGTACATTTCTGTTGTTACTCTGAGGCTGTGATGTTAACGCTAATTAAATCTACTATAAAATCACTTTTAAAGCAGGCTGCTCGGAGAAAGCTAATGTAAAATCATTTGGCTTCAAATTTCAGTTTTTAGTATCAAATAAAAAGACTTAACTATAAAACTATTTATTTATTTTTTTTAACTGGAAAAACTGTATTATTATATGGTAAATAAATTTGGGCATGTGTATTTTCCTTTTGCATTGGTCATTATAAAGTTGCTATTCCAGAAATGTGTTTACATTGTACTGGTACATATTGCACCTGTAATTTGTTTTCTTAGGCATATATGAAATTTAAAAAATGTGTGGTCTCGTTCATCTCAGTCTTGAGATCTACAATAGTTTGATTAAAACACGCAGGAAATATTTGCAGGTTGCTATTGTTAAAAACAACTTTAAAAACTTGAACTTTATTCCACTGGTTTAGCTGTATGCATATTTTCCAATCAAATGATTTATTTGCAATGTCACATTGAGAATCACTGATTTGTCGTCTTCTGGATATGCTTTGCAAATTTGGGTGTTCTTTGTCAAGAGATTATTTGTTTGCATGTGAAGAAATGGTGATCAAAATCTTTGAAATGATCAGAAATATCTATTGCGCTGTCATTTTTGTTAATTTCGCAGTTGTAACCATGCATGGTTTACAAAAAAAAAACACTTTTCTATAGTGTTTTGTAAATAATCAAATATTTTCTTTTCAATCCTGTAAATGATTCATGTTGTTACTCTGTCATGTTTGAGCCATAGATTATTAGTAGACATTATCTGTGGCTCCCCTGATGTTACTCTGTCATGTTTGAGCCATAGAAGTAGACGTTATCTGTGGCTCCTCTGAGGCTACAGCTGTCATAAAATGTTATTTATGTTTCCTGATTCCTGTTGCAGCTTTGAAGTTTAATATGCGCCTCATTTTCATAAGCACAAGTGAAATATTCTTGGAGCATCGCTTGGGTTTAATGACATTGACAATCCCTCATGCCTGTTCCAAATGTTTTGCTGAAATTTGTTTGAATGTAAGCTGGCACTGTAAGATTACCAAAGTTGTTGGCCTATTCCAAAATGTAGAATAATCCAGTTTGTTGCTAAGGAAACATTTATTGTTACACTTACATAATGACATTTCATGTTAACAAAATTGTGACAAATGGATTGATTTCATCAAATCCATTAGTTTTCTGGACTTTTTCGTGGTGAAATGTGACATTTCCAGTACTGCAAAACTGTCTTTCATGCTTTATATTTGAACATAGTTAAAATGGACAATGGTTTTGACATATTTCAACTTCGTCAAATCTAAATTTCTTACTTTAAGAATAATAATTTCTCAAGGTGCCCATACACAATATATTTTTAGACTTAAAGAATTGTTTGAATTGGGATTTCACAGGGACGGCTGCACAAAACCCTGTGACACAGATTTGTTTAAAAACCTTGTTCTTTTCCTAAACATCATCTTAAACTTAAAAAAAAAATTTTGTTTTCTCAATATAAACTCTTACAATATATAACTTTAAAAGCATTAAAAAGTCAATGTATTGTTGACTACACATTTGTTTAGCTAGGTCACTTATTGCTTTCAATAGTACTTGTAGTCTTGTACAGTTCCATTAGCTGCAATTTTAGTGGTATTATGAAATGACCGACACTTGTTTCTGTTTATCTTATGGTACTTCTAATGACTAATTTAACTTAAGGTGAAAGAGATCTAATTATAATTTAACTTGAGGTGACAGAGATCTAATGACTAATTTATCTTAAAGCACTTAAGGTGACAGAGATCTAATGATAATTTAATTTGAGGTGACAGAGAGTGCCACCAGTATTTAATGTTATAATTGTATTTAGTTGGAGATGATTGTTTTCTTTCTTGATTTATTGGTCTTGTTGTTCTGTCTAAGAAGCAATACCGTACATAAAAAGTTGGGGTATTTCATTTCTAGATTTGTAATGGCTATAATCAGAATATTTGTTCTTTTTGAAGTATGTGTTTAGACATCTGTCCATTAATGAAGCAGATTTGGTCTAGTCAACTGTTTAAAAAAAAAAGAAAAGGGCATCACACCATTTGAATAGGACATTCAAGTTAATATAAGTTTAAAGCTTTAACTTCTAAGTCTAAGAAAGAAATGAACAATTTTGGTTGAAAAATAAAAATTAATGCAATAATAGTAGATGGAATCCTCTGGTTGATCATATTACTGGTCAGAAATGTCCACCCATTAAATAAGGGAAGGTAGAACCTCTTGACAGGCAGCTTTGATTGGGGTGCGGGGTGGTGTGTCAAACTGTCTCTGTGTGTCATTCAAATATAAATTTGTTCACCTAAATTCACTAATTCAAATTGCTTTTTTTTAAATTTTCTTTTATAATTGCATACTAAATTATGATAATTATAAGCATTTTAAGCAATGCGAAAATATTTTAACTGCCCTCCATTGAAAGAAGAGTCAACTGTAAATATTGAATTGATATTAAGGAGAACATTACATTTAAAAGAATCTTTTTGAAATAATTTTTAAAAGATATAATTTTAAATAACTGAAGTTTTTTGGAATTGACTACTTCTTAAACTTTGCCTTTTTATTGCTATGTTTTGTTGATATTTAATTGATACACTTGCGCCTGTGCATCTGTTGCATGCCCAATTATTTTTGGTAATAAAAATTTAACAAGTTGTTAAATAACTTTACGGAAAATTATTATTTTCTTTACATTTGCCAGTTGTTGTTTTTTGTGTTTTTTTTTCTGATAGCATAAATACCAGAGCTGTCCACTAGGGTTTTAGGGGTTATTCTTTTACTTTAACTCAGATCTCAAGGCAGTAGGCCTGCATCTCAAGGCAGTAGGCCTGCAGAGTAGGCCTGCATCTCAAGGCAGTAGGCCTGCAGAGTAGGCCTGCATCTCAAGGCAGTAGGCCTGCATCTCAAGGCAGTGGGCCTGCATCTCAAGGCAGCGGGCCTGCATCACAAGGCAGTTGTTTTAGTTGTTATTCTTTTTCTTTATCTTAGTTCTCATGTTAGTAGTTCTGCATTTCAAGTTAGTAGGCCTGCAGAGTAGGCCTGCATCTCAAGGCAGTAGGCCTGCAGAGTAGGCCTGCATCTCAAGGCAGTAGGCCTGCATCTCAAGGCAGTGGGCCTGCATCTCAAGGCAGTGGGCCTGCATCTCAAGGCAGTAGGCCTGCATCTCAAGGCAGTAGGCCTGCATCTCAAGGCAGTGGGCCTGCATCACAAGGCAGCAGGCCTGCATCTCAAGGCAGCGGGCCTCCATCTCAAGGCAGCGGGCCTCCATCTCAAGGCAGCGGGCCTGCATCTCAAGGCAGCAGGCCTGCATCACAAAGCAGTAAGCCTGCTTATCCTCAAGGGAACAGCATAATCCTCATTTACCTTAGGTTGGATTTTTGAAACACTATATTTATATCTGATAATGATCAAAAGATGACAGTTCTAAGCTATTAATGGCTGGCACAGACACTTTACTGGCCCACTGAACTTGCTGCATGTCCCCAAAGGCACTAAGCAGCATGCTGAGAAAGGCCCCTATAGTCATGCCTACTTGTTCTCAAGCATACAAGTTTCCTTGACTTTCCTTGTCCCAGATGCTAATGTGTCTTACAGAATATGCCATCTTAATCTTATCCAATCATTTATTCTCCTACTTATGGACAGTTAGAAATCAATAAGGTAAACATGTGAGTGCTTTAAGATTTGATCACTGCATGTTCAAACATACCATAATTCAATTCAATTTTTGGCAAAGCTTTCATTTGGAAAAAAATTCGCTTTAATTTTAATTTCATGTGTGTGGTTGTTTAATTTTTAATGAAATGAAAGAAAGTTGAACCGCAAATGGCGGGGTCCTAGACACAGAGGTAATGCACAGGCAGGTTTCCCCATCATCTTTACCATTTTAAAATTTAATGCAGTAGTCCTGGCGAGACATGTTAGGACGTCAGTGTTCAGACAACCGCTTGACCAAAAGGATGCAGAATGGCGGGCTTGAGCATGGAAGGCTCTATATAAAACAGCCATGGTAGATTTGGTCAAATGATCAGGCATCGTGACCTTCTTTGCCTACACAACATGAATCCAACAGAATCCAGTTAAACCAAAAAAATACAAGTCAGAAAAACCCGGGTAAACTCTGCACCTTGGGATGTACCATCCATACATTGCACCGACTCCACATGCCAGAATAGTTATCAGCCATCGGCGCATCCACAGAGAGAGTCAGAACCAGCAAAAATCCTGATTGAAACGATCATGATTGATTTTGACAGATGAACTAATGCAAACATATTCAGTCAGGATCTATTTGGATGAACTTGAATAAATCAAAATAAAATAGTTCAGAAAATGATAAAACACTACACTACCAAAAGTGGCATCTTGATACACAGGTACGGGTACTGTGTTTTATCTTTTCTTGAACATTATGTTATGGCTGTGTGCTTTCTGATGAAGAAGAAAAAAAAAAAAAAGAAATATTGTAAAATATTTTAAA